CCCCAAAACCCCAAAACCCCAAAACCCCATCAATCTAATTATTATGATCATGAAGTGATTTTTTTATATTTATTTCAGGATATAAGATTAAAATTGCTAATGAAGGAAATTGGAAGTGCCAAACGACAGATTAGTTTACTAGATAAACTTATAAACAATTCTAACTGGAAACACATAGATAGAAGCTACTCAGTTGAAAATTCTAATTAATCTGGAATGCTGCAGTCTATATAGAGCACATAATATCCCTAACTAACTTAGAGGAAATATGGAACTCTAATGGAATAAAAAACAGCTGGAAATGCCACTGAATTCTCTGAGTCCAAGACAGTTATTCTTCCCTAGGTGGATAAAACATCTGTTGACATTAATGTTCAATCTATTTCATAGCTAAAGATGAACGAAAAATCAACTAAGGATTATAGGAATTATAACGTGCCTCCCACTAATAGTATCAATGGAATGTAAAGCATCACGCCATTTAATTTAACTTTGACAAAGAGAGAGCATATGAATCAAACAGTTTCTTTAAGTGCCAAAATGAACCGAGGGGAAGTTAGAGAGTCTCTAAATAAGTCTCAAGTTTATAGAGAATCTGGACTGTAAAATCCGTTTTTAAATCCTAAGCTTTAGGCTATTTAAAAGATAAGAGGAGTTTCACATCATAGATCTGAATAAAGTTCAATAGATCTCTATAGATTGAAAAATCACTCAACAATAGGCGAGCATATTTTGGAGCAAGCTAATGCATAAAAAGATTAAAACTAAAATCAACTCAATTCTGCGAATACAACCATGAGTCTAATGAACCAAAACAGCAACATTGGTTTCATTAATTAGTATGATAAGGCTCTGAAGAGTTTTGGAAAAACATCAAAGAAAAATTATGCGGATTTTATACAATCAACTGAAGCATTAATGAATAATTCTACTAATGCTTCTGTCGATAATTACAGATTAAAGCAAAAGTAGAATGACCAGTATTCTCAATAGATTAAGCAGCTAGAATAAAAAATCAAGCAGAGACGAAATTAAATATTAATACTTTAAAAAGAAAATTAAGAAAAAATTAGAACAGTTCACCATTAGCTTCAACTTAGGGATAGTTTATAGTAAAAGGTTATCTCTAAAACAAGTTCAAATGCCTTTGTTAACTCAATGTAAGAGGATAATGAAACTGATTTCAATAATTCTAAATTCATACAAACTATGACATAAAACTAGTAATCTACAAAAGATGAGACTAGAGTTCATTCAATGTATACGAATATAATGTAGACAGATATGGAGAGAGAAAAAGGGCTAATGAGCAGCTGTATTGAAAATGCTAAAATTAATTAGCAAAAGATTAATGATGAGCTTCTTGCAGTTAGAGAGGAGAATAGGAATCTTAAAACAAATTTGAAGAGAGTCAAAGAAATGATGGATAATGGTAACCACAGAAATAATGATAGCAACCTTAAGAATCATGGAGGGGATAACGCAACAGTCATAAGTGGTGGAGATAATTTCAGCTAATATACTAGCACAATGGACTTAAAACACAAAAAATAACCTAAGTCTAATAATTAATCTACATCTTAGGTCACAATTAACCATCATGTAATATATTTTATATCTTAAATTGCTTTAGAAAAACTTGAGTATTGCAAAGTAGTAAAACTAATTTGTTGATATTATAAAGTTTGAGAAGTTTACAATGTGTGTTCCTAATTTATTCAAAATTGATAAGGCATTTGATTTTATGATGACATTTTTAGAGTAAGAGTTTCAACGTTTAAGCCCTAATATAGTGAACTAAAGAATATATTTGAGTGTTAAAAAGCTACACTTTTTGTGATATCAAAGAACCTCTATCTTTAGCTTATTGAGAGTGCTAGCAAAGATAAGTAGAAATATGTTCACTCTGTTGAGTATTGGGATTCTTAAAATATAGAGAAGACATAATTGATTGCTATATCAAGAACAGAGAAAGAACTTTGTGATAGCATGCTATTCCCTAGTGTCTAATTGATTACAAGAGAAACAATCAGAAAAGGAGATCAGATGGGGATATGTGTTAGATATCATAAAAAAGATGGGGATCTTAGCTGTATCATTTAGTTAGAGTATGGATCTGAAAAAGCGGCTGGAGATGCGAAAACATAAAGACAGCAAAAGTAAACAAAAGCGAAAGGGCTGCAATTTAGCGTGAGTGATGAAAATACACTTAGAATCATAAGCACCTTTATTTAATTGAAACTTGAAAAGCATATATTGAACAAAGAGGCTAAAAGAAAATACTAAGACAGGTTAGAGGCTGTTAATATGGCTAATAGGATTTGCAAACTTAAGACATACAAAGCGTTAATGAAAGGAATGCACAGAGAACTAACAAGCTTCCTCTCTTGCAAGGAATGCGCCATAATGTTTTATGACTAGGAAAAGAAGAAACTATTTACTATATCAATGGATTAAAATGATGAGGACGGTGAGTTGCAGGTAGTTAAAAGAGATGCTAAAGGCAACGAGGAACTTAAGAATGATATAAAGGATTTGAGTCTTACTGAGAAATAGCTTATTTGGTATCCAAGTACAATGGGTCAGACAGGTTATGTTTTTAAGAAAAATACTTATCTTGTGTAGAATGATGCAAGAAAACGATTCATTAGCGTACAGCAACCAGGTAGCTAGGATAATGGATAGCCATTACCTCCAATCAATGTGGAATTTATGAGTGATTTGGATAATTCAATCGGAGTGAGAGTATTGACTAACTACATGATTGGGGCTTTGTAAGGTGGAGATGTAATCAAACCAAATGGTTTGGTTCAGATGTTCAACTTTAAGGGTGTAATAAACAAGGTGCAAATTAGAAGATATGAGGCCATGTCAGGTTTTTTAGGTGGATGCTTGGCAAATATCGCTGACATATCTAGAAGTATTACTACCATGATTGGAATTCAGCTTGTGATGGATGACACTTCAAGTAGTCTAGTTATTGCAGAAAACAGAGTTGAATAAAGTCTAGCAGATATGAGAAATATTTATGTCCCTATTGACGCAGCAAAGAAAATGTGTGAGTATCTTGAAAGTTTCCACAATAATCTCTCAGTTAGCAAATGATGATTTCCTAATTCCCCCAATCTGTGAGAGATTAAGGATAAACGCTAAAGATTATAAATTTGAACATACGTATTCACGTGTGAATGATTACTCTTATATTATATTAATATAATAAAATGATAATTAATGGCTTAAAACTTAGATTAAAATCTTCTAGCTACAGCATAGTTTATAGTCAAGGATTCTAAAGACGATTATTCAGTTCGGAATTCAAGAAGTTTTTTGGATTTGAACAAAAGTTGGAAGTGTAAAAAGTAAGGAATGATGAGGACACAGAATCTTTTGTAAATAGAATGAGCAAGTCTTCGATAGCAATTTCATCTCTAAGTATGATTTGTGGCATTTAATTAAAATTATAGTAATTGCTGCTTTAGCTCTACTCTTTTCAAACAGAAAATAAAGATAGTATGCAGTTAACTTAATAAAAACCAACTTTCTATATCTATGATTATTCTTGTTGACAGATCAGTTTCTACTGATAGAGCCTAAGCAATCGATTTATAGGCAATTGATACACATTCACAATTCATATGTAAGTTAAGTTATCATAAATTTTAGCAAGGTTTTGTATGCTTGACATGTTACGAATATCTAGTCAAAAAGATGAACTTTAATCTTCTCAGGCTTGGTAACAACTTAAAATCTTGTAATGAAGAGGAAGTTAAGACGTATCTATATAACTTTTAGGAATTCATGAGCTAAATAGTATCGCATATAGAGTCTAATCCAAATTTGACTTTACTTTCTAGAAGATAAGAGTTCAACGATAGAGTTTTAGATTATCTATACTTGGAATCAAAATTTCTGAAAGAGAATTAATACAATACAGAAGATGATAAAATAAGATTGAAGGAATTAGTTAGGTACGCTTTGAGATATTATTTAGTAGAGAGGTCAAATAAAGAGAGGCTTCAGGGACTATTAGAACTTATCATTTATTGCAACTACACAACAAATGAAGACGATATAGAAAAATTGTAATTTTTTAACCTTTAAGAACTATTAGATGGACTCATGTTTACTAGTTAAAATAAGAGCATTAAATTTTGCTTGGTTCTAAGTACCAGAATATTTACCTTATTGACAAATATCTTCAAATCATAAGATTTAATGATCCTTAAAGATTCAAAGAGAAATTAGAATAAGTTTAATGCTCTGAAGTAAATAATGATGTTAATTAAGATTGATTATACTTTATCTTAAGATTTATCTCTTGGGGTTTTGGGGTTTTGGGGTTTTGGGG